AATGAATTGATAACACAATGAATTTCGAGTATGTTCAATAGTGAACGCCCGTGAATGTGAATACAGAAGCAAGGAACACAAGACAAATCAGATTGTCTGCATAGATACACATTAATATTTCTGCGATAATAGTTTGTGTACACTTTCATTGTAACCACTTTAAGTACAAACACGGTTGCCAAAATTTTTACTATTCCAATCTAAATAACAGTCCACAATAATTACGGATAAGTACCTGATATCCAAAATTGATCAATTTCACTGTTAGCTACATTCTATATACCCTAATTCGTTCAGCGTTGTCTCACATAATTTCAAGTTTCGTTTCCAAATGTATCTTGCACATTTTCGTTTCATTGGTCATAGAGTTTTTCACGTGCTTTCTACATCAGAGACAGATTCATTTTGTTCCTGTCAAATATTTGTACAGAAGTAGAAAGTATACATCTTTTTTCAACAACACCAGTGTCATACTACTTTCGAATAAAACTTCGTGTCATTCTAAAAAACTCGTTCTTCTGAATGAGGAGACCATCTCCTCATGAATAACGATTTGCCATTCTCTTTCCTCGATTGCGATCACTGAAATGTGTTTGCGTCCAATTTTTTGCTCCTTGTTCCTTGGAAGTACGGTATGCCGATTTATTGGCAATTCACGATCCTAAATCAAAGCAAGTACGTATCAAAGTTTATTCTTAATTCACAATAATCGACCAAAATGTCGTTAGTTTATTACAAATAGACGACTAATGTCTTTCAAACATTAATAATTATAATAATTACAATTACCTTCTACTTTATAAATTCCTGGAGCGAAAAACTGCAAACGAACAAACCAAAACAAACAGGAGTCCAAAAATGGCCGAAGAAAATAATCCAGACAGGTTCATAAGTCAAGTAAAACCAATATACCCAAAAACCACAGTGAAATTAATGATATTTATATAAAGGTTTTAATCAGCCAAATGTCTTCATTTCTCCCGTAACAACCTCGTCAGAAAAGAAATACTGCCAGATAGGGCGAAAGGCTCTTGCCCTTGTGTTGCTCTGCGCCGTTTCGCATAAACTTCTGTAATGTCGGCGATTCACACTTCTCACAGACTCTGCAGGCAACATTCGGGTCTAAATCTGGCATTTCAGCCCATTCTGCAAATCGTCTTCATACCTCTCCTGGAGTATGATTCCAAGATCCAGTACCGTCCAACTTGACAGTTCGGTCAGGCAGAAGCTTTATCAAAACTCATGAATGATCATTTGACGTTTGAGGAAAATACGGTAATCGCATCCTTGTCAGAGGTAGACCACGCGGTTTTTTCTGATAACCGCAATACTGGCATTGTCGGTGGCTGCAACAGACATAACAACGAACCCATTCTAGTTGGATTTTCTACCGTAGCAGTTCAATTCGATTCCAATAGACGTATGTTGAACGCACCTTCCCTTAGTCGAATATCAAAACACAATAATTCTAGGAGAAAGCGGTCTATTTATATAAAAGAAATGGAAATACAAACGTTTACGTCTTCCAATTCGAAATTACTCTGATGAGTATCCGAGTTCCAAAGACTAGGTGAAGCTAGTATACTGCGACGATATCAAATCCAAAAATGTGGCTATAGCCATATTATATATCAAATTTAAACAACATGTGTACAGTTCAGAAGCAAACATAAAAACTTCAATATAAGTACAAAATATAGAAATAATAACAATATACAATGATAAAATCTCAAAATGGAATCAAATAAAATACCAAAATGTCAACAGAAAGAGTCCGTCATGTCATAACAAAAATATGTAAACATGGAGGGATTTTCCGAAAAATCAAAACATTCAAAAAAGATTCTAAACCAATCATCAATATGACGAATAGCTATGTCACAAAGGATTGGCCGTCTCACTGTTTTGATGGTAACAGGAAACATCTGTATCAGTGGCAGGATTCACTATGCATGGTTAACGAGTGCTTGATGTTTGGAGAAACAGCGGTCCATGCTGTTCTGATCATCAACTCTATACAATTTATTCATGTAATTTAAACATGCATGAGACAAAATACCATCAGAATACTTACAGCACTGCTACTACTAATACTACCAATAATATTTATAGTAGTGTTGATAATAATAAGCAAAATAAGTTTTATTCTAATTCACCAACCTACACAAATCTCCACTCAAAACTATCGACACAAATTGATAGCCCTAATGAATTGATAACACAATGAATTTCGAGTATGTTCAATAGTGAACGCCCGTGAATGTGAATACAGAAGCAAGGAACACAAGACAAATCAGATTGTCTGCATAGATACACATTAATATTTCTGCAATAATAGTTTGTGTACACTTTCATTGTAACCACTTTAAGTACAAACACGGTTGCCAAAATTTTTACTATTCCAATCTAAATAACAGTCCACAATAATTACGGATAAGTACCTGATATCCAAAATTGATTAATTTCACTGTTAGCAACATTCTATCAATCCTACACTGAAAGAAATTCAGTATGAGGTTGCGGAGACTATTGAATTTCACAGTTAGACAACCAATCATTCTTTGAATGCAATCATAATAGTTTGTCGAACTTGAGTACATTATTGTATTTGATAGCTTTCAAATTTTTGAATTTTTTCATACATTTGGGATAATGTGCAAAAATGATAGAAACATGGAGGCTGATTAATCAGAATATAAGTTCTACTCTGTTCTCGAGAAAGACATATCATGATTACTGTCAACAAATTAATTAATTGTCTAATTCGGATCAGTCATTCAGTTATTTAGTTGGTCAGCAGTAACCTAGAACTACGTACGTAGCCTTTTTAGTTCAAGTTCCCATACCACGATACCAAAGAGATTCATTTGTAGATTCATATTTTATAGGGGTAAAGTTAGTATAAGTCTGAGCAATAGTCAGAAAGATTAGGGTTTGAAGATGTTATTTAAGGAGTGTAACCAGACGGATTAAATTTGATATGTGAAAGATGAAATTCATGAGGAATTCAGATTAGAATATGGATGAACACAAAGAATGTGTGCATCTGATCAATTGCAAACGATTTGAGCCATGTCACTATTCAAAGTCTCTAACTATCAAAGTCGCGCGTGAATGCTTACCCTTCAGACCTTTTCGTCAGCATTCAACAGTGTAAACGTCGAATATCAATCAATCCGCGATATCGCTCAGCATTAGGCAATGTCTTCGGTGAACGCAGCTTCAAATCTGACCGCCAAGCAATATCCACAGTAATGATAATAACCATAATAATAATCCAGTATGCATAATTTCCAATACTTGATCTATGTTCAAAGATTTGAATGAATTGGATAAATAGCTATTAATCAATAATCTAATCTGTGTAGATAATTTACAAAATCATTAAGTCTATTACCTTAACAGAGAGAATCAATTCACCACAAAATCACACATACTAGTTTATTTCCTAACACCATTCACATTAATATCTTTCTTTTGCACATTTGAAATCATCAATCAATCATTGTTAGACCACCATTAGAAAGGAAGCAGTAGATCAATCAGAGTTAGAGATTAACACCGTAGGATGCCGTCCCAGTGGTCCGATTGTTAAGCGTTCGCGCACAATACCGAAGGTCCTGAGTTCTGATTCTGCGAGGTGCAGGAGTCATGGATGCGTACTGCTTATGAGTCTCATACCGGGACGAAACGGCCGTCCAGTGCTTCTTTCAGGTTTCTAATGGTGGTCTAACAATGATTGATTGATGATTTCAAATGTGCGAAAACACAAACCTCCAAAGCTCTGCCTAATAATATCTTTCTTCCGAAGTTTCACAGTACTAAAATTTTGATTTTGGTGTAATACAGTATTTTTCAAGCTGGTCGAACTAATTCTGAGTACTGACTATCAACAACAATACATATATAAAGGGAAGTGTTAGGGCTCAAATTCATACACTTTTTGATCAAGACTGGTTTCAGTAGTACTTGTGGTAGTAGAGAGAGAGCTTTTCTACTTTAGTGTAGTTAACACATAGATGATAATATTTATCCACTTAATATGACATTCATGGTCTTATTCTACTTTAGACTGTGCAAGAGAATTGACGCGTAGAAAATGTCACTTAATTTGGCGCATTTTGTGATATCGGTATTGAAGTAAACGCCTATATATTTAAAGACATGCATAACTTCGAAACTGCACAACTTCCGACCTACCACTTACAAGGGCAATATGTACTGGGAATGAAGTCAGCGATCACTGTGAAGGTTATCAAGAAATGTTCACTTTATATTTGACTGATTGAATCAAAGCAACTGCACTGAGTGATCATTTTAAGAAGAAAGAACTTCTGTTTTGGAGAAAGGTTCTGAAGTGACGTTAATAAACATCGTTAGGTAAGGTACTGGTGCAGTGTTAGTATAGGTTTCATGAAAACCACTTATTCTAACGATCGATAATCATGAATGAGGCACTGATTGATCTATATGGAAGCTAATTCTATTCGTTTAAGAACTATCCGATATTCTGTTATACCTGACAAGTGAATACAATTCATGACTATTCAAATGAGTTCGTATAATTTGACGAGTTGTTTGTTAGTATCATTTCTACGCAACAAGTTACTTCGGCGTTATACAGTATGGTTTGCACTATTTGAAATGACAATTGGTCATTTTGAAAAGGTGAATAAAACAGAAATATCCTGAATGAAAATATTTATTTGAATTCAAATGTTCAATATTAACTGAGTAGGTTCATTTATCTACAATGCAAAAGAAACGAAACGAAATTATTCATCATTGTTATTGTTGTTGTGACAGTCTCTACACATTTGACAACCGGATATAAGCCACAGAGCCATTTTAATCGAGTTTCAACTTCGAAGCTCTTATGTGAATATATATACATAGATATATACGTGAAGAGGAGAATAACACTGGTTTATGTAAACCTTTGTGTTAAAATAATTTTCCTCATCGGCATAGGATATTACCCTCATACGAAGCTAAATGATATGACTCATATTACTAGTGCTGTGCAACAACATGTAAATGCTTGAATTTGTGTAATTCAACAAAATGGTTTTGCAATGTGTTTGGGAGTGCATATGTAGTAAAACCCAACTCGGCCTATAGCGCCTTCAAAGCTACCGCAGGTATTAAGGCTTGATAAAGGAGGAGGGTTGGACGTAGTTTTAGAGACCCCATCCTGCAAAAAATGTATTGTCTACAAAATGCTAACAAGAAATAATAATTCAAACCATTCAAACTCTGATCTGTGAGGTAGAAGATTACATATTGGAGCTCTCAATGCTCGAACCTTGTGTCGAATAGGACAACAGGCTTTATTTGCTAGAACTCGGGAATCCCGATTCTCTCCGATTACTGCCAGTACTTCTTCATCCTCTACTAACATGTGATCTAAATTAACAATTGCATCTTTGTGCTAACGTAGTATGTCAACCAGAACAGATGTAGATACGTACATACGTACGACGTTCTACGGTGCTGTTGATTGAATGAGGTTTTAAAACCATTTAAGCGAAACTAACATGAATGAAGTAATGGTGAGAAATGATTTCGGTGTGAGACTTCGTACGATTCAGAATAGATGTGTGTCACAGAATGTGCAACTATGTGTAAGGTGAGCCGTTTTAAATGATAAAAGGACGGATCAGTTCCGTCCAGTAACTTCAACAACATACACCATCAATAAAGAACATACTCAGACATGATTGGACTCGTGGTGACAGAATTACCTACAGTAAGAAAAACATTGTATCAGTTTCTTTTCAGATGAAGTCACATCAAATGTGATACAGAAATTATCATGAATATGACTGGTCGCGTTGTGCGAGTCACATACGCCGTCTATTCCAGTGAAGTGATGTGGATTTAAAATGATTTCACACAATTTTCAAATGGATCTCGATAACTTACGTCTTTCTTGAGCTTTGCGTAGCACATACAAATCATCTATACAGTGGATGATAAACGAATAAAATGTGTATTCAATTTATGCATCAAAGTTCAGATGAATATGCTAAAACATCATTCACCTATTAAAGAATTTATTGTATTTGTGTGAGATTTCAGTGGCGACGGATGACGAATCAGATAGCTTTCAATGGAAACAGCTAACTTGGTCATCAACATTACTTTGATAGAACAATTGTGTTGGAATACAATTCAACTGTCGACTATTTCCGGCGTGTGGTTCATGCGGAAATATGTAAAACAACTCAACGCAACGGTTGAAGGCTGCAAGAGCAAATCAGTCACAAATGTTGTTCTGATTATAATTGATCACTGATACAGAAAGAAAAATGATAGAATAAACTTACACAAACCTCCGCCGAGCTGACTCATAGCATCTTGTACCAGCATAGCATTACAATACAAATATATTATCAAAACACTGTAGATCGATGCAAAACATGTTTTATTTTAAAATGACAAATGTTGACTGGCTTTGTTGAATGATGAAATTTAGCATGATGAAATGCAAACTACATCGACGCGATTCCGTAATAATCACTACTCATCAGATTTTGGTTGGAAAATAGTCCAATCTTTTTCTGCGATGAGTCAGTAGATGTTAAGTTTAGTTAACAAATTCTATGGTGCTTTCTCTGATGTGAACAAGGTGCTTTTTGATGCATGATGTATTTCGACAGTGATACGATAAACGATGTGATAAATGTTTCTGTATCATTGAACACAAGCAATAAAACTTTAGACTTACTCTGGTTGGTGTTAGTCGGTGTACCGGATACATCTAAATCAATTACAAATTACAATGTATATGTCATGAAGAGTAAATCTAAATGTAATAGATGTTTCGAATACATCATTTTCTATTTTCAACGAATACTTGTTTAGCAATACAGTTTGTCACAGTACACAACTCACCATTACATACAACTACAACTACTACAACAATGCAGAGCAATAAACAGAAGTTTGTTATTTTCATCGTGAACAGGTAATTTTATTGAAAACTGCATGTTCTTTTATAGTGTTTGTTGTAGGATGTGAACCGGTGGAGGACAGGTGAAGTGAAAATACTTTGAACCAACCACTGATTGAGTAAGATGATTATGTACATGTCTGGTAGTTGATTGTGCTGACCGGCGTCACGTTACGATGAAAAACAAACAACTTTATTTGACATTGCACTATACAACACATCTACACTATCATACACAAACAATAAAATGTGACCAGTCGAAGCATTGTTTCCAGTGCTCATAATCATTTCAGTTTTGTAGTTCTGTTTGGCAGTCGGTCATTCTATTAGCTTGTGAATTCAGAAATTAATCCAAATCATTGTTGGAAAGAGATATTCAGAACCTTAACGGGTAGTCTATTGATGTCTTACTGTGATACAACAAGATCTGCTCAAACGGACTAGAATTGTGCATCATTGTAGAAGAGTTGATCATCTGTTAAGGTGATTATTATATGATTAGTGGGATGCAGAAAATACGTGATATTATTAGAGAGAAGATGATGAGTTGACCTGTTTCATCCTCAGTGTCTAATCAGACGGAATAAACAATCGACTGACTGAAATGCGAATAGCCATAACCTACCTTATATATCAATAAAGTTATCATTGTGTTGCGGAAAAATCAATCTGTACACTTCATGTTGATGATGCTCTTCTAACAGCACACAATGTGATATGATAGTAAACGATATTGCATTGTCAGTTCAGTTATCACAATTGAGGAAGGAGAAAGGCAAATTGTTATTCATGAGGAGATGGTCTCCTCATTCCGGAGAAGAAATTTTTCTAGAATGACACAAAGTTTTATTCGAAAGTAGTATGACACTGGTGTTGTTGAAAATAGATGTATACTTTTTACTTCTGTACAAATATTTGACAGGAACAAAACGAATCTGTCTTAAAGTAGGGAGCACGTGAAAATCTATATGACCAATGAATCGAAAATGTGCAAGATGCATTTGGAAAAGAAACTTGAAATTCTGTGAGACAACGCTGAA